GCAAGTATAAGTGCCGCTTCAGCGAAATCCGAGCAATCGGAGCTGGCGGACTTAATGGCACAGGTGAAGTCGATGCGCGAGGAGCTCGAGCATTATCGGGCAATGAAGGAGGAGGGTTTTTGATCCGGTCCGCGCTTCGTGCCGCACGCGTCGGGCCGCGAGTATCATCATGTAATAGATATAACGTATTGTCGACTGCAATGGTGTACGAGCTGGACCAGGGGTCCCAGCATTTTCACATTCCAGTTCGACTCCAAGGGAAAAGACGGCACAAAGACATAATCGCTATGGTGGACAGCGGAGCCACCACGAAGTTTATCAACAAGCGATTCATTGAAGAGAATAAGGTGCAGACGCGGAAGCTGAAAGAGCCGATTCCGCTCTACAATATCGACGGCACCCTGAATAAAGACGGAAGCATCTCGGAGGTAGCCGTGCTACAGATGCAGATAGGAGAGCACGTCGAGAAGACGGTGTTCACGGTCACGGACATAGGTCCAGAAGATGTGATCGTCGGGTTGGATTGGCTGCGAGAGCACAACCCCGAAATCGATTGGGAAAAGGGCTCCCTCAAATTATCACGATGCCCTGAGGCGTGCAGTGCCAGAAGGGCTGGCCAAATGGAGCAAGCGGCGACTGCGCGTGATACGGGGGTCAGGCCCACGGCGCGCAGGCGTTCGCCGAAGTCCAAACGGTCGGTCATAGGCGCTTGCCGGAGCAAGGTGCTCCCGGACTTCGAACCCGAAGATGATCCGGTGGAGGTAGAGTGGAGCGAAGCTGACTTGATCGAGGCCTGGGAGCAAGGTATCACGCTTCCCGGCGCCCCTAAGCTGTTCGTCGCAGCAGGGCACACGTATTCCCAGCTGTTCGCTGAGGAAGAGATCAAGAAGAAGGTCGTCAAAACCGCCGAGGAGTCGGTACCCAAACAGTACCACGAGTTTCTGAAGGTCTTCTCGAAAGAAGCATCAGAACGGCTGCCTGAAAGGAAGCCTTACGATCACGCAATTGAACTCGTACCCGGCTACTCGACGTTCCATTCGAAGGTGTATCCCCTGTCGAACAACGAACAAGAGGAACTGGACAAGTTCCTAAAAGAGCAGTTGGCGAAAGGCTACATACGGGAGTCGAAGTCACCCATCTCGTCCCCTTTCTTCTTCATCAAAAAGAAAGAGGGAACACTTCGACCCGTGCAGGACTACCGCCGGTTGAATGCGATCACTGTTAAAAACCGCTATTCTTTGCCGCTAATCGCCGAGATGGTAGATAAGCTCCGCGGTGCCACGCTCTTCACCAAGTTCGATGTCCGATGGGGATACAACAACGTCCGGATCAAGGCCGGTGACGAATGGAAGGCGGCCTTTGTGACTAACCGGGGGCTGTACGAACCCCTAGTGATGTTCTTCGGCCTCACCAACTCCCCCGCCACTTTCCAGGCAATGATGAATGAGATCTTCCACGATCTCATCGTCGGCGGCAAGATCCTTGTGTACCTGGACGATATACTCATCTTCTCCACCAATAAAGAGGAGCATGAGAAGGTCACACGTGAGGTTCTGCGCCGCCTCCAGGATAACGATCTATTCCTGAAGCCTGAGAAATGCGAATGGGACGTTCCCAAGGTCGACTATGTCGGCTATGTGTTCGGTGGCGATGAGGTAGCGATGGATCCCGCGAAGCTAAAAGGAATTAATGAGTGGCCGGTACCCCGGAACAAAAAGGAT